TTTTTTGCCTGCAAGCGTTTTACTTGTTCTATTTGACATCGAAGACATTTGTAGAAATAGTAACGTTCCTTAAAATTTTACTTCTAGAAGCGCAAGAACTAGTTTTTATCCTCAGGCAAGGGTAAGCTTCATTAAGAAGGTGAATGGCCGCTTGAAGTTTTCATTTCATCCACTTATCCTTTTCTTTTATTTTTCTTTTTTCACTTCACATTCCTTGGCTTTGATGCGGGAGATAATTAGGAACGAAACGCTATCCCGAAAAAGTCCTCCGCAAATTATTCGAAAAGCACTCCATGTCTTGAAGAAATATTTTTGCAGTTCATAGTAAGATGCCACCCTAAAATTTTAGACAGTTAGGTTGCCAAACCAAGTCAGTAACAGAACACCTTTTTATGCCACTCAACCGGTGTTGCGAGCGAATACGCTTGCAAAGATGAACTTACGTGCATACCTCCAGAAATTTCATGCATATTTTGATGATAATTGTTGAAATTCTCGCACGCTCATTGGTCAAGAGGTATGATCAATACCGGGCACAGACAATGAAAACTTTGTTATATCAAGTCCTATAATCTTCGGGATAAGAATTTCGAGCAGCTGAAGTCGAGCAATAAGTAAAAGCAAAGTTCGTCCGTTTTTGTTCGACAAAAGTGAACATTTGTGTTCGCATTTTGTTAAGCTGCTTTGTCGAAAAGAAAGTTTTCTTGGGTTACGAGAGCCTTTTTTGATGTGAACGGGAGAGAACTTTCGAGATCAGGCAGGCCAACCACAAATCCTGGTACAAATCATCTTGCTCGTCACTGTTTAATTTTCAAAACCGTCCCGATTATTTACATTTTTATTAGGTGTCTTTAGCTCATGCCGTTGTCGGGAATCTGTCAAGTTCGTTTCTTTTTCGTCAGTTTTTTTTTTTTTTTTTTTCCGTCATGAATTGTTAAATTCACTCTCGCAGAAAAACTGTGTTCCGTGGAGTCTGCATCGGCTACCCCACGTGGTTTCAGATAAGTTTTAGACACTTTTGAAGCCTTCTCTTTGATCATTACAAGCATACACATGGAAAATTTCATGGTCGAATATTAAACATAGTGCCGCCTAAAAAACTATACAAAACACATCGGAAGAATGGGAAGTCGGCTAAAAGGAGAAAAATTGCGATTTAAATGCAACACGTTTCAAACAGAAGAAGGCGAAAAAGCAAATTAGGATCGTTACCGCATTGTAACGGATTATCAATTTTTCTCAGTTCTCATTTTTCCTGTTTAATTCACACGAGGCTCTTTTGACGTTTTGACATTTCCGTTCAAAATATCGCGCGCGTTTGTTTGGCCTGTGAACTGTGTCCGGTGTCGAGTCTTTTCAAACTCTCGTCACCCTGGTATTTTTGTTTAACCAACAGCTTCGTCACTTCAGTGTTACGATTGCTCCAGTTTACCGCAGGTTACTGGTGGAACTAGCTGCAGCGCCGACACAGTTAAAAAACTTACTTGCCCCCCTGTGGGTTTTGACCGATGTTTTACAATGAAAGTCAGTATCCAAGGACAAACCTTTGAGACGAGGAATTGTTCTTCAAGCCTGGTCTGTGATTCACAGATCAATCGTAAGTAGATCACTCCAGTTAAACTCTATCATAAGTTACCTCAGCCTTGCATGTAAATAATCTGACCTTTTCCAAACCCATCTCTTGTGTTGATCTTATTGGCAGAAATCAGTAATTTCCTGTATATCGAAATGCCAACATAATTTACAAAGTGAATTTGTTCTTCTTCGAGGTTCTGGACTTAAATAAACGATTGAAATTTTTAAAGGTGTTTACCACTTCTGAGTCTGCGGAGTCATATTCAAGTTTCAAAGACTGTCGTTTTAATGTCGTGCTGTTAATTCATTGCATTGTACCAAAAGCTGTAAGTCTTAACTCTCCAAATGAAACCGTACCCTACATTCTCAAGCAACAACGACAAAAACAAAACCAAAAAACAAGAAGTATAAATGGACCGGCGAATTATCAGGGAAGCCTATTAAGTGCTGAGGGGGGGAGGGGGGGCGTAACGTTGTGATGTATTGATTATCCAGGGTGAGGCGTAATACTCCTAGTTGCTCCATGCTGCATGGAAACCGAGATAAGCTCTGGCTGGAATGGGCCAATAGCCTCGAGTGCGGACTTTGCCTTATTTTCTTACGTCATGCTGTTGCGCAAGTATTTATATCACATTAAGAATTATTTTGATTCTACAGCTTGCAGCCAATCGAAAGATCAGGGGATAGACTGTAGTTTTGAGTGTTGCAAAGGTGACCTGTGTAACGATGGAGTGGGTGACCTGCGTAACAATGGAGTGGGACTTGCTTTGAGCCTCGGAGCTCTCTTCTCTGCCTTAATTCTGCCAAAGGTTTTAGGATTCAACTAAGACTTTCACAGTTGCTTCTTTATACAATTTTTTTTTTTTTTGCAACTAGAAGCTGGCTTCTTGAAGGAAATATCTAAGAATGTCGACTCTAGTAAATGTAAAGTGTGCAGTTCCATTGTTAGGATATTTGTAATCGATTGAAAAAAAAAAAATGTCAATGATGTAGTGCTTGACTGCTTTGATTAAAGGTGGTAGACATGTTTTTTTAAAGAAGGTTGTCTCCTGGTGGCACGAACGATAAGTTAGGGTAACACAAGATTTTGAGCAGAAGGACGGAGGGGAAATCAGTCGTTGCTGACAGAAAATAAAATGTGGGCCATAGAAAACCGATGGGCCGAGGAGGGATTAGGTATATTTCATGGTGACGAGCAAAATCCTCCGACCCGCGAAATAATAACCCGTCCCACATATTCCTGTAATTCTTCCAATTGATTGAAAGTTCTTTTGAAAATACCTGGCAATACTTTCTAAGGGGACTCCCTGCCACATTACCTTCTCCCCAGGCTGAGGCGTGAAGAAATAGCTCAAGCAAGCCTGCAGAATTTTTTTTAAAAATTTGTACCTATTATCTCGGTTGTAACCTTTAAATGCGTCATGGGGTATCTTTCCTGATCATCTAGCGCAGTGACCTTACTAGGAAAATAAGATTAAACCTAGTGGGAGCTTTTTACCTTGTTCAGAGTTAGTTACCGTTTTGGTATTTGCATTAAAACAAACAAGGGTTCAACATTTTTCGTATGTGTGCGCATTTAGCTACTTTGAAAGTTGAAACACAATTGTCGGGGAATAAGTCAGTTGGTCATTAATAATAAGTCAAATATATAATTGTAAAAGGAATTAGTTAAATGATTACGTGATAGATTGCATCAATTCTCAGTAAATTGAACTTAGTGCACAGTTTATCAGCTGATGTACTTTGCACGCGCTAATTGAACCAAATAAGGAAGGGATCATGTGAATTAGGCTTGCTCTATCGTACGATAGTTATATTACTGTAAGCTGTGCATGTGATAGATTATAGTACTGTATTGTGTAAGACAGCAGAAAAACCGAAGTACACGTACACTCTAATCAGATCGATAGTAGAACCCTTGAGAGGTAGAAGAATAAAGTCCGTGTTAAAATAGAACGTAGAAGGTGTGATAGATACACTCAGTTGAACCAGCGAGCGGAACAAAAATTCCGCGACAACAATTTTATCATTACTAAGACTCAGTTCGGTGACAACATCATTCTAACTTTAACACAGATATGAGTTACGAGAAATCCTTGAGAGAATTTCAGGCTTCTGCGCGAGTCTGCTCCGCTCTCTCAACCTAGTGCATTCATATATTGCACTAAGCAATGCATCAAAGCACCAAAAAAAAGAAATTACTTTCAGTTTCATGTTGCGAGAAATTGAAAGTAATATGTTCAGAATGCAAAATCTTCCTTGTTCATATGCTTTCGACCCGAAGGTGCGTTTACCAGAGAATTTGATTTGAAAGTTCCTAGTGCCAATACCGGGGATTAGCTTTGTGGAGCCGAGAAGTAAAACTTTCCGGGCTAAACTTCAGACGACCTGGCCACCTCATTTACGTGTCATTAATTAAGAATAGCGTCTATTGTGTTATGCCTCGTTCTTCAAAGCCTCCCGACACGCGCAAATGAGGTGGACGGGTAGTTGCTCCGCTTTCCGTAATACCAATATCAAGTAAGAAAATGGCGTAAAAAAAACTTTACCTTTCACTGTTAACGGTTGTGAAATCGAAACCGTACACGATGCCATCTTTTGAGTCGACAACCTGCAAATACGTCAATCAAAGTCGTCGTCAATCAAAAGTGTTGATGAGCAGAACTTGCGTTTTGCACGTGCTATGTAGAATTTTGTACATTTCAATTCCTTTTTGAAAACAAAAAATATGCAAGAAGTGCAGAACTCGGAAGGCACAATGTTTCTGCAATAAGGTGGATGGATCTTAATAAATTCAACCTTCTACCCTTTTTTTAACTTTATCTTTTGCATCTTGTACTCGGCCTTATTGAAAAGGGAGTTAGATATCTTTGTTCGAATAATTCTTGGAAGGAAGTCCATTTATAAAAACAACCATAAAAATAACAAAAAGTAGTTCGCTTACCTTAAAATAGACGCGTAACTTAAACAAAAAGAAGTCTTGCAATATTTGTGAAGCAAGAAATTGTGAGAGGGACAGAGTAATATCCCTTATGGGGGATACGTTTCCCGTTTGCCAACACATTAAACATTTAAATAGGTAGTTTTTACCCTCCGGCTTAGCAAGGATTGGCCCTACACTTTCGTAATAAAAATTACTACAAAAAAAATGCTCAGGACCATGATCATAAGTTTCTGTACAAACGTGTAGCACATTTGATCAATTTTTAGTCTACGGAAGCAGGAAGAAAAGATCGGGGCGCTAACAAGGGGAATTCAATCTCATTGTCTCCTATTTCATGGAAGTAAGAAGCATAGAATATATACGGTCACACATCTACTGAGCTGAAATACGTTAGGTAAATTATTTCACATACTAGCATATCATTTTCAATGGTACACTTAAAATGCAATCATTGCGATAGTTTATATTTGATATTATATGACGAGCGTTGAAATGTAGTGAGTAGTATAGCGTAGACACAATATAAGTATGAGTCTCTGTCAATATAAACAGTAATAAAGCAGTTCATGAGGCTCTAAAGGGATAGATATCTTTCAGTTATTCTAACGAAAACTCTGTTTCAAATCTAACGACTAGTTCGAGAAAGACAATTTTTTTTAAATGACTATTTACAAGAACTAAAACTGCCGAAATAACTCAGAATACCCTACCTCTGTATTTACAGTCAAGAAGCGAAGCTACTTCAGAGGTTATTTCTCAACCAAATCTTCCCGCGCATACTTTGTTTTAAGATTAGTTTGAAAAGAAAAAAAAAACGCCACATGATAAAGATAGTGGCAATGTTAGCAAACTTTTTTCTCACAGAAAGGTTACGCCAAAACCATTATTTTATATAGCGGTTAATGCTTTTTGTACTGCAACTTGTAATACTAAACCGATTTTTAAAGAATCGCTAATCTACGCATGGCATACTGTTCATCTCATATGCCTCCGTTGTCTTGATTCCACGCGAAACAATTCTAGCTCGTTTCTCTTCAGAGTCCTCCACAGGTAGCGGGTTAACAGCACTTCGGTTGACAGGATCGTCGTCGATTGGCTTGACTCTACGCTTCAACTTATGTGAGAGGATAACCAGGAGAATAATTATAGCGACAACGATAAAAATGAATCCGCTGACGGAAATTCCAAAGATCACTAAGGAATGTATATACCAACTTTTGGTGGGCGCCTCAACTGGAATCTCTTTAGTGTTTGTTGTCGTGATCGTACTCGTACTTGGAGAGCTGGGTTTGGCTGTTGAAAATAACGGTTGATATCATTCCTCGATTTAAAAGAAAACTCCTACTGTGACTTTCAACTAAGTTTTTCTTTATTGAATTGCAGGCAGTTGCTAGCTGTTGCAACGCGCGTGCCTCGAGAGGTTTCATACGCTTCACGTATATGAGCCAACAAACTTTAGTACTCATCTCAATGAATATGTTGCGCGTTTGATTAGAATGGACTAAGATCTCTCAATATTCTTTTCGTTCAATCCTTTTTCAACGGTCATGTTATCTCATTAATTCATATTTTGTTTCATTCAATATTTAGATTTTCAAGGGGCGCCATTTAAGTACTTAACCAATAGGTGTCATGCAAACATTTTTATGTTAAAACAATTTGCGCATAGCTTGTCAAACTAGAGCACCTGTTAGCAGCATTCAGGAAGAAAAGTTTCTAATAGAGAATATTGTTCATAAAACAAGAAAGAGCAAAGAAATCCATACCATCAATGTGTGTAAATAAATGACGTTATACCTTCTGTGCGAGCAAGTATTGTAGTCTTTGTCTCTGGTTCAGCGTGGACGTTTACAGTGATATCAAGACGACGAGAGCACGAAACATTTCCTAGATCATATGCAACGACATCCAGACGGTACAATTTAGCCAGAAGTTCTGCAGCAACTATTAGTTTTCCATTTTGTTCACCCACTTTAAAGACCCCTCCATCGTCCCTTAAGTGTGATAAGCTGTATTTCACTTCTCCGTTGAGCCCACTATCCTCATCGCTGGCTGACACCACAGTCAGAAGGGTCCCAATATGAGTATGCTGCGAGATATTGAACCGGGTGGTTTGAGGTGATTGAAAGATCGGGCAGTGGTCGTTAACGTCAACAACTTTGATGTACACGACTGTAAAGCTTGACTTGCGTGGAGCTCCGTCATCCGAAGCCACGATCTTCAGCTTGAACAGTTTGGGAAAGGAACTTTCATAATCGAACGCCGAAGATGTAAGAATGTCACCTGAGATGCTGTCGATCGTAAATGCCATGCTCGCGTCATTACTGTTATCAATCGCGAAAAAAAGCTTCCCATTTCGGCCTGTGTCGGCATCGCTAGCTTGCACTCGGAGAATCGTCGTTCCCAAAGGACTGTTTTCCAGCACAGAGGCATTGTAAAGAGGTGCAGCAAAAACCGGAGCGTGGAGGTTCGGTTTAGCCGTCACATTACACGCTGCACCGTCATATCCAGGGTAACACTCGCAAGTGTTCGGTAAAATGCAGTCACCTTTCTTTGAACAGTCATTAACACTGGAACAATCTGCGTCACTACAAGCTGCACCATGCCATAAAGTGTCACAGGCGCATGAGTCATAACCGGTGCAGACGCCGTGACCTGTCCAAAGATGATTAAATCAGTCAAAAATTAGCCTAGAAATGCTTTGGAAAGAGTTCTAGTTCTAGTGACTGGATGATGAACAAAGTAACATATTAAGCAACTGCATGTAAATATGCTCCAGTAACATGCTGTGGATCCCGAAAGGTTACTAAAACGAGACTAACTTTCTCGTGAGTGCCTCACCTGAACAGTAATTAACACCTTCACATGAAGTATTTGAACAGTCTGCCCCAGTGTACCCCACATCACATTTGCAAAGGTTTGCCTCGACACAGACACCGTGACCAGAACAATTATTTACTGAGTGACAGGAGGGAATGCTGCAGTTAGCACCGCTAAACCCGGAGTAACACCTAGATCGAAAAAGGAAAATATGGCTCGTCAAGATATTGAGCCGGAGCGAAAGAAGAGAAAAAAAAATGAAGGTTAGTGAGACACCAAGTACCTGCAAGAAACATTTTTGTCATTTTTCCCCTGCATGCAAACTCCGTTCCCACTACAGTTTCTAAGAAACGCACAATCTGGAACGTCACTGCAGTTTTTTCCTTGGAATCCTGGGTAACATCGACATGCGTTGCTCGACACGCACACGCCTTGACCAGAGCACTGGTTGACACCTGCGCAATCAGGGATAGCACAGCTGACTCCTGTCCAGCCTGGATCGCAGTCGCACTTAAAAAGAGCTACACATCTTCCGCGTTCTGGAACAAAAAATGCACTATTCTTTATAAGGTGAATCACAGATCTCTTGTTTAAAAAAAATTAACCAATATGTGTTATCAGATACGAGAAAAGGATGCAAAGTTTGGAATAAATTACTGGAGCAATAGTCGAGAGATCCACAGGAGAACTGGGTACAGTCTTTTCCGGTCCAGTCCTTCTGGCACTTGCATACGTCATAGTCAACACAGACCCCTCTTCCAGAGCAATCAGACACATTTGAGCACGTAGGAGCGATACTGCAGTCACGTCCTGGTAATTAAAGATAAACCAAAATCGAATTTGCTCTTCCAAAACGCTACTCTACCACAGAAACTACAATTTATAAACCTTTTAAACGTGTAGGAAAGACAATGTGTTTTTGTCGACAATTACTTCGCTCCTTTGAGCTTAAAATTGTCACGCTAAGCCATATGACATGTCTTCCCTTAACTATGCAATCCGTTCAACACCTATGGTATTTTGTTAAATATCCTTACTACTTGTTTAAAAAAAAACACCTCTTAGCTGACAACAAGGAACGAGTTAGTTTAGGTATGATTTTAACGTTACATTTCGGTAGCTTTGATTAAATGTCATTATGATTTGTAACATTTACATTTATGATCCTTGCATTCTGATTGGCTCTCACCGTTACGATTAATTCACAAATCGAACCATTTCATGCTCTAAAATACATCTTTCAATCAGCCAATAGGACAGGTTAACTTAAACACAATAACCAATTAAATTCAAGGCTGGTTTAAAAAAATCTATCAAATTCCAGGTAAATAAGAGACAACTCACCAGATTTTTACGAACCAATATACCGGATCAATAAAATATTTTTACAGAATTAAAAAAAAAAAAACTTGTACGGGGCGACTTAATTTTTCGACTTGAAAATAGATGTATTAGAGTGGTAACTGAACTTCGTGTCGTGCAATTTTGGTCTCGAATCATACTTGTAATTTCAAATGAAATTCGCGCTGTGCACTTGTTGGATTTTGAAATCACGCGTAGATTTCAGACCAAATTGCACGACATAAGGTTGAATTATCATCATAAACTTACGTCTACACTTAAACATTTGTGACAACTCCATTCAGCTTCCAGAATGCGGTCACTTACCGATATATCCGTCATGACAGCGACACTGATCTGTCCTCCAACATATTCCGTTGCTTGGGCTTGTACAGTTATTGACGTTGTTGCATGTGGCTGAAATATTTGTCTGAGTTAGTGTTGGAGAATGCATGGAAATCGTAGTTATATTGTATGTTAATAAGATTCTTAGCGTTCGCGAGGCATATATAAAGAAAGTCGCTCTTTACACTCGAGAATTCACAGAAAATAAGGATAATGCTAATACCCGGTAACATAAAGAGTGAGGATAAAGAAAAAGAAACTCTTGGAAAATTCTGCTACTTCCCCTTAGTTCTAACAACCCAGTATTTTTCTATAAACAGGATTATCTTCATATGGATTTAAACTGAAAATTTATTATATGGCTGTGTCTCACAAGGACTGGGAACAATCGAATTCACGAACTTGATTGGCTGAAATCAATATTGAAAGCGGTCTAGATTTTCCCATCTAGACCGGAATCTAGACCAGTCTAGAAAAAAAAGGTACAAAGAATATAAAAAATTGACATACAAGACACAGCCATATAATAAACATCTTATCAACCGAGCTAGGGCGATCTGTATGGGAGACTCTTGACCTCGGTCGCTGGTACAGACCGAACGCAGTGAAGTCTGTACTGGCGACCTCGGTCAAGATTCTCCCATACAGACCTCCCGCTCGGTTAATTAGAGCTAAGTATGACAGCTATTTGGTTTGCTCTTATTTGAATACTAACCTTTCTGATCACAAGTGACTCCTTCCCAGCCATCACTACATTCACAAAATCCTTTCACGCATCTCCCATGCTTAGTGTTGCAGTCTGTGCAGTTACCTGAATTAAAGAAGACTTCTCGTTAAACTTGCGTCCTAAGCTAATAGCAAAATTCGTTTTCGTGCTTTCTGATTGGCTGTACCTACCAAATTGACAGCTGTCTCCAGACCAACCAGCCATACATTGACAAGTGGAGTTAAGACATCTTCCTTTTCCAGAACATTGATTGGGACAACCTTAAAAAAATTTAGAAAAGAAAAAAAAATAAGATCTCATTGAGCACGTCAAAGTGTGTTGATTGCACGAGTTTAATTCAATTCATACGAATGACTGTTCACGCAGTTTCAGGAATGTATAAATGTAATTAAAAAAAAAAACATTATAAATAAGCCCTATAGTTCTGTAAATATACTACGAAAAAATTTCAACTCTCAGCAAACAGCTGAAAAGTTTTTCGTTGATACTGTTCAACTTACTTTGTTTCAGGCTCTCTTGACCAGCAAGTGACGTATCATTTGTTACGGCCACGTCATAAATACAGTTCTGTAGCAGGGCATCAGAAAGTCCAAGTGACGAACAGGCTGCCGTAGCTTTCTGCAATAAACGATATGCGTCAAAAAACTGATAATATGATTCGAACAGGGCATTGCAAAAATAGAAGGCATTCAGGTCCTTATAATCGAGTACAATAACTGAAAGAAATACCATTTTCGCAAAGTACCAAAATATATTCACGAATGTGTATAAATTCGAACTAAAATTTGTAAGACCAACAGCTCCACTGTATAGTATAGGAACACCAAAGACATAGGTGTTGCTTTTCCAGTTAGGAGGTACAAAATAGATGTTGAGATAGCTCATCAAGTGTAATAAAACGGCTTTTACCGCGACAATAGCGTCATCAATTCCATTTAATGAGTACAATGGATCATGATTTGGGTCCTTGTAGGAAAAATCCATGACGTCATCTCTGTGAAAGTTTGAGGAGTTCCATGACCACGTTCCTGGAAGGCCGGAGCTGTTATGAACAGCGGTTATACGCCCTAGATTCAAGGCGTTGCGGTTAGTCAAATTGTTACATTCTTTAATCTGGGCCGTGCACAAAGAACAAAATAAATTTGATCGCAGGGACGCTGAATATAACAATTTACACTCACAGGAATCAGCAAACTGAATAGGATCATTAAATTGCTCTCCATTTGGGCCTCTCAAGTCATTGGAAGGGTCATTGTCCATCACTCCACAGAGTCCCGCAGTGTGGCCCTTGAATGCTACAGTTGGTGTGAACAATACATTCATATACTGGCGACCCATCTTTGGACTGTGACTCACATCTGCTGTGATTGTTAGACCTTAAACCAAAAGATATGTATTAAGCCAGAGCATTCTAAGCCGTTTATGTAGAAACTAGGGGTCGATTAGTGACAAATTCTGCGACGATGTTTCGGTGGCAACAAATTGATTAAATATTAGCCTTTTTTAAAAGCGTAGGGCAATAACAACTCTGTTTACAGGGGTCGCAGACGAGGTAGCACATTTAGTTTCTTTCGCTATTGATCCTTCTAACGTGGTTGTCTTCTTAGCAGTAAATTCGAATGATGTAACTGGAATTGGAGTTTCGCCTTTAGGCTTCGCCGACACGGTTTAGTGTATCTGGGAGAAGATAATTGGATGTTTACTTTACAAGTATTAAAATGCCTTACACACACCTGACTCGAACTGCAATGATAGAAGTATAAGTGAACCCTCGTCTGATTTTGAGTCGAACGTCGTTTGAAAATCAATCACCACAGTCCCATTACTGAGCTTCATTTTTTTCCCGGCATGGGCTGATATATTCATCAGCGTTCCATCCAGTCTGTAAAAAGTATATTTGCAGCAAATGTAAACGAATAAACAATTTAAACGAAATACATAATGATGTAGGCAACCAAAAAATTAACAAGAATTGGGTTGTTTTTTCTGAAATGAGAATAAAGATCTTCTCCATTTTCTTTCCAATTATTACAGCATATAGTTAGCTTCCAGAAAAGCAAACTACATATATAAGTCCAGAAACTGCTAATATCTCCCATAAAAGGGGTCTTCTTATAATATTTTCCATTATCACTGTGATTCTTATTCCAGTGATGAATCTTTCCCAGCGTTAGGATTTGGGGCCAAAATACCCCCAGGCATGCAGGTATGTCAGCGACATGTCCTCTTTGTTTCCTTTCTTCTTTTATTATACTCTCTTCTTCTTTGCCAATTGTCTGATCCATGATGGATTTTAGACCGGCAGTTGATGCTTTGAGTAAAGTACGGTCGACGTTCTTTAATTCAGCGGTGTCTGTGGTTACCTTAGTTTTGGAAATTCTTTAGAGTCACTCGTGTTGACGGTCATGATTGAAAGCACACTCCGCCCCGCCTTAATAGCCACGCCTCCTGTCAGTGACGCTCGCTGATAAGCAAAGTAGCGGAACTGAATTCCAAAGTCATTTAAGACGCTTTTACATCCCCAGAATTCACCGATGCCGAAGTAGTCGTACTCGATACCTGACGAAAAGAGCACAAATATTGAAATGAGCCGCACTCAAAACGAAGGGTACAGTTTTTTTTCCGTACGAACCTTTTTGATGGCTTTACTATTTTCCCTTTGCCGCAAATGTCGCAGAAAAACATTCGGGATTACGGTCTGTATTGTAGCTGGACCACTTACGAGCATGCAACTAGCCAATCGGATTCGAGATTTAAGATTCTGACCCGCTGAGATGCTTCAGAAAAAAAACAAAAAAACTTTATCCAGACTCATAAAAAAAAAACAAGTTGTATGCCCCCTCCCCCACTTCTTCCCCCCTTAATCTGCATGTCAAATATTTGTACACACGTTACATATGCCCCAGAAGGGAAACAAATTGCAGTAGGAAATGTAACTAGTATCTCTCTGGGTATTGCTTAGTACAGGATAACGATGTGAGCTCTAACCAGTTTTTCAGAACGTAAGCCACTCTCTAAGAAACAAGTCTTGATACGAACAGAACATATTAAATTATCTAGAGGGGAAAAAGAAAAGGTTTTTACGGGGTGAGAAAAAGGTGGGAAGGGAGAAGCAAAGAGCTCACCATCTAAAGTTCCAAGGTGAGGATCACCCCAGTTCCACCAAGGTCGCCTCGTTTCGCAAGAAGACCCAGTCCACCTGGCTGAGCAAAAGCAACGAGACCCGCAGTCTGACGTGGCTAAGGGAACACCATTGCCAGAACAGTCCACTGTAATAAATAATGGTTAGTGGAATAAAAAGCTAATGGACATTATTTCATTATTAACCTAGGTAACATATTAGAAAACCTTTGTCTACGTAATCTGATCAAAGCGTCTAAATCGTTTCACACGGTTTACTGTCGTATATTAGAACTGGTTTTTCTCACCTGAGTTAGGTTGTACATCTGGTTGAGTACACTGGTTTCCCTTCCTGCCCACCACACAACATGGTTTTTTACCGCATGGGTAATTTTTTGGATTTATTTCGTCACTAATGTCGTTGTCATCGTCATTGACATTCTCATCATTATTCGTATTGTTATTATCATTGTCATCATCATTGTCATCATCATCGTTATCATCATCGTTATCATCATCGTTATCATCATCATTATCATTATCATCGTCGTCTTCGTTATCACAATCACAGACAGGCTGCAAAAGAATTGTTTGAAAGTAGCTGATTAGTCGGTCAATCGCCTCCTATTTCCTTAACTTCTATTCTTTAACTTAAACTTTTACGTATTTTTCCATGTCAACACTCCGATAGGTCTGCCCTTGGTCCAGGAGAGATAAAAACTCGCGCCTGCAGTGTAGAACGGAGTCCGTAGGTAATGCTTTCTATTATATTCATTGTCTGCGTTTTTGATGACGTGTTCAAAAATTTTTTCACATTATTAGTAGCCGGATGACCGGATGCTAAAATTAGATTTCAAAATCACGGGAAGAGAACCACGAACAGAAGGTAGAACACAGGTTCGTTTAGCTCCTCTGGTCATTTAGAGGCTTCAAGTGCTATCTATCCCGCTCACGTTTTCCCTAACATTTTAACAGTATTCAACGTTTTTTATTACTCTGAAGTAAAAATTTAGTGTGTCTGAACTAGGTGTGATCATAGGCGTCCCAAGCTCAAGTCTCGAAAAAACGCGAAAGATAAATTTTAGGACACCTACGTTATTAGGTAATATGGTATATTAGTATATGGCTGTCACTGGGAACTACCGAATTCATGAATATGATTGGCTGAAATCAATATTGAAAGCGGTCTAGATTTTTCCATCTAGACCGGCATCAAGACCGGTGAAGAAAAAAGGTACAAAGAATACAAAAAATTGGCATATAAGACACAGCCATATAATAAATATCTAGCTTATTAACCGAGCTAGGTCGGTCTCTATGGGAGAATCTTGACCTCGGTCGCTGGTACAGACCTCACTGCGTTCGGTCTGTGCTGGCGACCTCTGTCAAGATTCTCCCATACAGACCTCCCGCTCGGTTAATAAGAAGTAAATAAAAGTCAAGTATGAGATCAGGGCGGCCGAGAAAGTATTTTTGTGAGACAAGCAATACAATGAGACTTACGACATGTTTGACACATTTGAGGCACACACTGAAAATCAAAGTAAGACGGTGAGCTCGTGAGTAAACTTTGCAGAATATAATAAATACAGTTATTGTGCTCAAAGCCATTGATCCCGTGTGTCCAAAAAACTGAGTCGTCAACCCCACAAGAATCCAACCTCATTATTAGCACTCAAATACATACGTGTTGTCACCCGCGAGAAAATTTGACACCTTTAGCAACTCCAGCCAGCTAAAGAAGAATGTAGTTAAACGTCGTGGGTGGTGCGTGTGGGGGGGTGGTTTAGTGGGTAAAAATTACAGTCAAGATCTGAGTGATGTATCTGAAATATTCAAGTACACATCGATCCCCTCCCCCACCCCCCACAGTCAGTCAAAAGGCGGATCCACAGAACACGGGTCGCACTTCAATATTTGAGAGTGAATATCTTTAAATTCAAATAAAAATTATTATTATAAGTAAAACTGCCGTAACCAAGTGTTGGTTAGTTAACCAAGACCTTGGAAGAGTACTAGGTGTCCGAGAACGCCCTGCTCACTCGTTTGTTTCTTTCATTGGTGTCGGTTTCTTCCAAAGAACCGCCATTTTGTGAAATGGGGAAGGGATGAAGGAGGATGTGGGCTGATCTTAGTGTGTGCTTGGCGGAGATCGAGTTAAAAAAACCCCAATATTAACTACATACACGCCGTCATTTCGAAAGTATTTTGTGAAGTAGAGTATGTTGGTAGATCACTTCACATATTTGTAACTCTTTTTTTTTTTTACCCCCAAGGCTTTTCTAATGACCGTTTTTTCGGTGGATCCGCCTTTTGATCGACTGTGGGGGTATGGAAGGGGATTGGTTTGCATTTTCAATTTTTTTTTCCACTTTTACTTTTTTTGCTACGACACCTACCCAAGACCCACACCCACTGAGATTTTCTTCGCTTCTGTCGACCGCTACGGCCGATCTACAATTTAGAAACACCCCTTATAATAAGGGTCACTCACAGGCTTAGCATCGCTTTTCGTAGATCGATAAACTTCATGATGATCCAGGGTGAGAACGAGATTAGGAAAGCGTACGCAATATGTTATGATTTCGCTTGTCTTACCTCCCAACCAGATCTTTTCTTATGGGTCCAGTCTGTGTGCCCTAATGGATTTGTTTACGCGGGATCAGTTTCTAAAGAAACTGTGATGCTGCGTCGGTGGGGGTAACAAGGTAATTTGGCAATATCAACTGAGTTGAAATCGTAAATTGGCCACCGTAAAGGGTTAAAACGCTGACGTTTCGAGCATTAGCCCTTCGTCAGAGCGGCTCTGACGAAGTGCTGCCGCTCGAAACGTCAGCTTTTCAAACCTTTACGGTGGCCAATTTATAATTTCAACTCAGTTAATTACAAAATTACGCGGGATGGAGTTTGATAATGGCATGGATTTCGTGACCTTAACCTTTAATGTATCAAGAATTTGAGTATTAAACATATTGATAATAAACAGACCTTTTCTTTTTTCCTTCAGATTTCAAATCTTTGCTCAAGGCTACCAACGTAGTTTCCTTTTTGCGAAAGAAAACCTGCACTTTCCCAACGACTTTTGAGGGGCCGTAGCTAATTTGAAGTTGGTGAGGTCCCGGCGTCTTACTGGAGCACTTTTTGCTGCAAGGTGTAAAGAGCGCCTTGAGGTTCAAAGGAAGCACAACACTCAATCCAAAAGCTGGCAAATAGCTTGTTGTCTCTTTGATTGCGCTTGGCTTATAACCAACTATAGAGAAAGAAATTTGAATCATGAAACGAAACCGATATCTATTTATTAGGCGCTAATTGAAATGACGAATAACTAGAGGGCACAGAGCGATGTGGTTAAAGCAAACTTGTAT